AGGAGACTTCTTGGGCATGTTGAAACAGCAAAGTTTTTATTAAGTGTGAGCTGACTTTTAACATTAATAATCAATTTCTTATTACAGTTTCAGCATAATTTTAATAACCACGGGAATCTGCAGCATACATTTCCTGCTACTGATTGCTAAAGGGATAGTAGTTTTGTCCTCAAATGCAAAAAGCTTGGAGCCCTAGCGTTCAGCCAGAATACTGTTGTCGTTTCTCCAGGAATTCATCAGGCAGAATTCTGGGAGTTCCTGGCCACAACCCCACACCTACGTTGTCTGGGACGCTTCAAGCCTGTCTTGGGCTTCCTCCCTCTTGTTAACATATAAAAAAGAAAGCTACTGTTGTGCTTCCCAAGGGCTGTCGCCACCCCATTTTCCACCAGAATCCAATCTGCATAGGCTGCACCTGCCTTTCCCAATGAAACTAAACATGGCCACAAGGTCACTTTTGAGAAAGAGCGAGGCCTGCCACTCCTGCCCTTGTATCTGTGTACTTTGTGGACATGTCATGCATAAGCCTGGGGACTCCGATTCTCCAGGGTTCACAGGAACCAATGGCCCAGTATCACTACATCCACTTCTCAGCTAACTCCCCTGAATCTCTCCTCGTTAGCACTCAAAGCAGTTGAGATGTGCACCCAGCTCTTTTCAGGACTCATTAGGAATGGGTGGTGGGCAACAAGAGGAAAGCAATGGGAATGCATGTGTTCTGTAAGAGAAAGGAGACCCTACCTGCCTACCAAGACTTTGGAGGCAAATTGGTCACCCATACCTGCTTCATCAACAGTATTTTGTATAGGATTCCATTCTCCTTGTCATCCAAAGTCTGATGACATTGGATGACAAGGAGAATGAAATCCTATACTTAAGCTGAATAGCATGGTGTTTAACAGGTTGAAAAATATATCTATATTGCCTCTGTGTGTGTGTGTGTGTGTGTGTGTGTGTGTCTGTCTGTCTGTCTGTCTGTCTATCAAGATTTCAATGGATTGCCTGTATGTACCTCCAAAAGGACATGAGTCTTCATTCTACTCAGGCAGCATGCCTCCTCTATGATGATGCATGCCACCTGTATTCTTTTCAGTCCTTGTATTAAGGAATATTTCATCAACCTATCAAAAACAATTCATTGACTAAAAATACTTGTCATTATCTCTGTATAAATACAAGTAACAGTCAATTTTAACAAATCTTATTCCATCCCTTTCTTACAGAGATGAAAGTAATCTAGACTTCTGCATCGTATAGATTAGTGGTTCCCAACCTTGGGCAACTCAGGTATTCCTAGTTCCCAACCTTGGGCAACTCAGGTGTTCATGGCCTGCAACTCCCAAAAACCTTGGCCAGCAATACTTGGGATACCCAAGGTTGGGAACCACTGATATAGACAATGAATGAACTATAGATGGTCTTAGAAAAAGTGTCCAGGTATTTCAGGTGGAGGGACGTGGTGGTGCTGTGGGTTAAACTGCAGAAACTTCTGGGCTGCAAGATTGAAAAACCTGTCTGCAGAAACCTCTGGGCTGCAAGGTTGAAAAACCTGTAGTTCAAATCCACGCAACGGAGTGAGCTCCCATCACTTGTCCCAGCTCCTGCCAACCTAGCAGTTCGAAAGCATGCAAGTGCAAGTAGATAAATAGGTATTGCTATGGTGGGAAGGTAATGGCGTTCCGTGTTTAGTTGCGCTGGCCACGTGACCACGGAAACCGTCTACGGACAAACGCTGGCTCTACAGCCTGGAAACAGGGATGAGCACTGCCCCCTAGAGTCGGACATGACTGGACATACTGTCAAGGGAAACCTTTACCTATTTCAGGTGGGGAGTTGTTTAATCTGAGAAATATACCTCTCCAGCTTTGGAACGCTTCAACTGTTCCTAGGAGAACCTTCCAAACAACCTTCAATAAAATCTCCACACCCCTTCTTCCTACAAGACTTTAAACAAATTCAATGGTGAGTAGGCTAGGCCTTGGATTTGTTAATCTCAGATGTAAGGAGAACTAAAATCCAGTTATACGATTAAAGGCAGAATATTTTGTCTGCATTTTTATGTGTATTCATCTGGAATGACATAAGAGTGAATTCAGTGAAATGTAAATTTAAGTAAACACATATAGGATCAGCCTTTGGAAACACTAATAAATGGAAACACTAATAAATATGGTTCAGTAATTAAATATTACCTTTAAGACTTTCAAGCTTCTCGTTTTTTACTTTCAACACAGCATCGGTAATCTTTTCTAACAGGAAGTTCTGCGTCCTTTCACATCTGATTGATTCTACCAAAGCATCTAGTCCTTTTGGATGTTCTGCTAAATAATCCAGCAGCTTTCCAGCTTTTTTCCTACTTGAGGTTCGACAAGAGATTTCTTCAGTGTCTTCTCTACTGAGTATTTTCTTTGATCGTAGATAATCAAAGTGTCTTTCTGCAATTATTTTGTCACACAGATAGCGACGCATCCGTTCTAAAACCTAGCATAAAGACAAGGCAATGTCAGCAATAGCTGAATCTTACTATTTTATCAATTAGGTTAAGAACTACCATAAATAAATAGCAAATGTGATATAAGGGAGCAGTGAACTCAAATGATATGTAAACACGACATATGATTCTATGGAAGAATTTATATGGTATAGGTTGGTGCATAAGTTGTGGGCAAGTCCTCAATTTAAATCTCATCTGTTCCACAAGTTCACCAGGTCATCTATTTCATAACTCTGACCCAATCACCAAACTTTTAGTAATTTGGAAAAATTCAGCAGCCTGAATCTACTTTTTTAGTCCCAGTTAGAGAAGAGGCAACGAATCAGTAGGATTCTGGTAAGTCAACATTAATGTAAGTTTCACTGATTCAGGTGGTCTAACTACACTGGGACTAAAATGGATTTAAGATATTATAAAAGCTCAGTACAGTGGTGCCTCACTTAGCGACATTAATCTGTTCCAGGAAAAACGTTGCTAAGTGATTTAATCGCTAAGCGATTTTAAAAAGCCCATAGGAATGTATTAAAACACGTTTAACACGTTCCTATGGGCTTAGAAACTAACGTTAAGCATTCCTCCATAGCAGCGGCCATTTTGGGTACCTCTAAAGCGAGGCAAAACAGCGGCTGCCATTTTGGAACTGCTGATCAGCTGTGCGAAAATGGGGGCTTTGCAATGATCGCAGGGAAGCGATCACTCCAAAGCCCCCATTTTCAGCCAGCTGATCGGCGG